CATTTAGACGAGCTCGTGTAAGCCGCGTCAGCTCCCAACACGAGACAATCCTTTTGTCAGACGTACATAAAGAATTGAAGCGGGAGTTGCAAAAAGCCCAATATGTAATAGCATTCCCTTGATAAGACTTTAAGGGTCCACGAAGCTTATAAGCTACGCATGCAGGTCATAACAATTATAAGGTATGTTTCGTTAGGCAGGTAGGTACCTATGGAGCTGAGCGAAAGGACAATTCCACTCCAACTGATATCCGGTTTGTAGGACAATGAAACTCATGTCTCTTTTCTAAACTTTCCTGAAAAAGAGCGGCACTGGTCACCCATAACCGCCGTCATATGACGTTCGGCATCGTGTCACCTCTTGATCGACGGCTGTCGCATCTTTTCGGGAACTCAATATTACCGCATGTCAAGAATTTCTCGGCCATATCACGCCAAAAGACCACCCGAATCTGTCTCCGCTGCAGCTCCAGTCACATTGCTGTCCTTCATCAACCACAGATATGCCTCCGCGACATCTTCCCCCTTGGCCGGGACACCTGTGAGTGTTGACTTGGCGACAACTTTGGCCGTGGAAATCTTCTGCTCTTCAGTCCAAAGTTCAGTTTCAACATAACCAGGTCGAACAACATTGGCCCTGATCGGCGCGAGATCAACCGCCAATGCCTTGGCCAAAGTGGAAAGCCCCCCGCCATAGTAGCTCATCAAGGCCCACCCCTTCGCTGGCTTCTTGGTGACAGAACCACTGGTGATGGTGATGCTTGAGGTGTTTGCTTTTGGAAGGTATCGAGATGCAACTTTGCCGAGGGTCATGGGAAGAACGAGGCGCATGTGAGAGGTTGAAAGAATGGCATCTACCGACATGGTCTCTACCGGTGCGATGACCAGGGAAGATGCCGCCGTGAGAACAACATGGTGAATAGTACCATGGTTGGACTCGGCTTTCTTGAACAGTGTGTCAAGGTCATCCTCCACCGTGGCTGGGTTGGAGAGGTCGGTGGGGAAACCGGTGATGGTGTCTGGTTGAGAAGGGTAGTCTGACCTCAGGCGCGCAACGGCAGCATCGACTCTGGTTTGAGATGAGGACGAGATGGTGACCTTGGCTCCCGAGGCAATGGCACCGTCTGCTACGGCATAGCCTATGCCAGAACTCCCTCCAAGAACAAGGACATGCTTGTTCTGGAGCTTGTGGTAAGCAGAAGGGGCCATGGTTTAAAACAAGAAGTGGAGCTTGGGCGTGAAGTCAGGACATCGAGATCTGGAGCTGCTAACTGAGGTGGAATATTGGAGACATTTATATCTACCTCACACCATCTTGCTCAATAAGCGATCATGACATGCTCGTTGCTTCCACAGAGCCTCATTGGTAAGCATGCCTGAGCAGCTGCGCTTACTCAACAAACGGCTGGTTAAGCCCGACATCACTTCGCAACAGTCAGTGACTTTATCTGACAACTCTTCATCGTCTTGTACTAATCGGCGAAAGCCATGAAATTAGTCGACAATGGCAACCAAAGCGAAACCGAAACCAAGAACTTCGTCAATATGACCATCTTGGTCAACGAGGTAAGCCTGCAGAAGATTACTTGGACGACGCCAAAAGACTGACTCGTGGATTAGCTGGCTTTAGTGCTTAAGACCGGCGAGTCAATAGAACAAGCACGTCAGACCCTTGCAGTCTGCAAAGGTTGTGTAAGAGGCATCCTTCAACATTGATAGAAAGATGCAGTGCTTCGGAGTGTCCACCGAAACCGGTCTGCCGAATGCCCCGCTTTCCATGCCCCCACACCTCCGCCGCGGATGCCAAGACAAATCCCGGCGAAGGTTGACGGACATCGACCCGGCCCCGCTGCGCTCCTTCCACTCAACGGTTTTCTTTTTGCAAATATTTTCAAGGATTTCCGCCCACCCCCAATCGACAACTCACCGTGGCTTGTCTTGCCAAGAATCGGTGACCATATCGTTGCGGAAAATTACCAGCCCCGCCAGACTGATATTTTTCTCTAGCTTCCATAGGTACTTTCTTCACCTCTGTCCCAGAAACCAAAACAACTCACCACGAGGATTTGACTGTCTGTTGTTGTTTTGCTCCTTGCCACCCGACTCCTCGGCCGAATATCACATGTGCTTTCCCCGATTCAAAGCGCCCCTCGACTTTCTCAACTTCTCGACGCACCTGTTGATGCGTCGAGCCAAACATCAGTAACTTCACGGCAAGCGACTTTGAGTCTTTGCGCTTGCTCGAGGGGACGTAAGAAAGACTTATTCAGAGACGATATAATCTCTGCGTAATCTAATTTTTAACCAACTTGTGGTCAAGGAGCCACCACAGATATCTGACAGCTGTAGCTTCAAGTGAAAGAGTATTGCAACTTTCTAGAACACTTGAACCGGCGTCATCAACATGTCTGAGAACCACAACACCACCGCACACACGGTCGTTGAGCCTGTCATGGCCAAGACGGACGGCCTTGGTGACTACGGTACCACGGCTCATGCCACCACCACCAGCATCAGCGCTGAGGGCAACGCAACCGACAGCGACTCTGAGACTGCCGCCGTCGCCGCAGGCCTGAAGCACCTCGAAACAAAGGATGTCAAGTGGTATTCCTACCTCCTGACCGCCGACTTCTGGGCCATCATTGCCCTGGGCCAAATCCTCGCGTTGTGCATCACCGGCTCCAACACCTTCACCTCCTTCCTGAGCTCGGTCAACACCATCATCCCAGCCTTCCAAACCCTTTTCAACTACGCCTTGCTGACCTTGGTGTACCTCCCGTACACCATCCACAAGCACGGCTGGGCAAAATACCGTTCCATTCTCTGGCGCGACGGCTGGAAGTACTTCATCTTGTCCTTCCTCGACGTCCAGGGGAATTACTTCACCGTCTTGGCGTACGAGTACACCAATATCCTGTCGGCCCAGCTGCTCAACTTCTGGGCCATCGTCTGCGTGGTCATCCTGTCCTTCTTCCTCTTGAAAGTGAGATACAGAATCGTGCAGATTGCCGGCATCCTCATCTGCTGCGGCGGCATGGGTGTCCTTCTCGCTAGCGATCACATCAACGGCACCAACGGCGGCAACGGAAAGGACATGATCAAGGGCGACCTGTTTGGCCTGCTGGGAGCGACTCTGTACGGCATTACGAATGTGTACGAGGAGTGGTTCGTTTCCAAGAAGCCAATGTATGAAGTCCTGTCCTTCCTGGGCTTGTTTGGCGTGTGCATCAACGGCGTTCAGGCGGCGATTTTCGACAGGAACAGCTTTGCAGGCGCGACTTGGAACGGGGATGTGGCTGGGTGGTTGGTCGGGTATACGTTCTGCTTGTTCATCTTTTACTCGCTCGTTCCGCTGATCTTGCGGATGGGAAGCGCGGCCATTTTTGATGTGAACCTGCTGACGGCGAACTTTTGGGGCGTGATCATCGGGACGAGGGTGTTTGGGTACACGATCCACTGGATGTACCCGATTGCGTTTGTGCTGATCATCTTTGGGATGGTGGTGTATTTCCTTGCGGGAACGATCCTGGGTGATTCGAAGAAGCCGTGGTTGGGGGATAACCAGAAGGATGGTGTGGCTGGGTTTGGGACGGCGAAGTTGAAGGCGCTGAATGAAGCTAAGAAGAAGGGTTTGGCGAGGGAGGAGGCCGCCGGGGAGGCGTAGGCGGTTTCTGGGGCTTTCATGAGTGTTGTTTGAGGGGCGGTGAAAGCAAGGGGTCTGGATCAGGGGGAAGGGGGGCGTGTAGGCGTGCGGAGAGGGTCATGTTGCACATGTTGACAGCACACTCAGGTGTTGCTGATACATATTCTTTTCGTTGGGTTTCCTTGTGAAACTGTTTGCTTTTTGGTCAGGGAAGCATGATCACAGAAAAGGGGTTGTCAAAGGTGTCGTAAGGAACAGGGTTAGGGTTTCAGATACATTTCCAAGGCGGCAGCCGCCACCAACACCCATTGCGCCTTAATAAACCCCACTTATTCACACTTGACCTGCTTGTTACTCATAAATTGCTGACCACATCAAAGAAATCGTGCTTCGTTTTGATTTCACTCATTATCACCTCTCTTTCAACACTCCCTCAAACACGGAACCTTTTGTCAATCACCAACTTTAAGCGTCTCACACATCTTGCATCTACAGCATCACACCACTCACTCACTCACTCACTCACCACTTGTTACCAACCACTCACTCACTTTTCCTAATTATGGGCACCAGCGACTCCCCCCCTCACTCAATCTACTTTGGCTACGGCTCCAACCTCTGGCTCGACCAAATGTCCCGCCGCTGCCCCTCCACTCCCTACCTCGGCCTCGGCCGCCTAAAGGACTACCACTGGTTCATCAATGAGCGGGGTTACGCCAACATCGCCCACTCGACCACCTACCTCGACCAGGACGAGACCGACGAAGTCTGGGGGCTCATCTACTCCCTCACGCCAGAAGATGAAGCCATGCTCGACATCAACGAGGGCGTGCCCTACGCCTACGAAAAGGAGGTGATACCTGTCGAGTTTTGGGAAAAGGGAACACCAGACGTCGGGAAGGGGGCAGGGAGGAACGTGGATATGCTGGTTTATATCGACCACAAGAGGAGTGAGGGGGGGTATAAGCCGAGGGAGGAGTATATTGTACGGATGAACAAGGGGATTGACGATGCGCTGAAGGAGGGGGTGCCGATGGAGTATGTGGAGAGGGTGTTGAGGCCGTATATTCCCGCGGAGGAGCAAGGGGTGGAGGTTGAGAAATTGGCGCAGAGGCAGGCGGGTGGATTCGAGGATGAGAGTGGTGTTATTCCGGCGAGGGTGACGGCTGAGGCGGTAGGTTCGGGGGTAGATCTAGTAGGTGGTGGTGGTGGTGCTGGTGCTGGTGCTGGCGGCGGTGGTGGTGTAAAGAATCTGACAAAGATTTGGGAAGGAAGGGAATAATGAGCCAAAGAGGAGCACAGAGTGTGTGTGCCCAAGAAGAAACAAGAAGAAATAGGGAATGAAAGGCAAAACATGATGCCCACTATCAGAATCGAACTGATGACCTTGTCATTGACCTGGTGGTTGAAGGAGGTGAATTGTGATCCACTTTCCAACATTTATTACTAGTGACACGCTCTACCACTGAGCCAAGCGGGCTGGGTTTGGCTGTTGAGTGCTTGTGAGGATGGAGGTGGTGGGTTATGAAGGGGACGGATTGAGAACACGGACAATGGAGCTCCGGAAAGTCAAATGTGTGTTTTGTGCTCCAGCACTGTGAATGGGCGTTGTGGGCATTCTGTTAGCATTGTTCTTGAAGTTTGTTAATGTCTGATCCGCCTTCACCAGTGCCCAGTGAGGGGCACATCTACGGTGACATATATTTAAGTGGTAGTAGCCGCTCAGCACACTCGAATGGCCATTGTTATGTTCGGTGTACCTTACGGCGGGCCCGCCTTCTGGATAGGTTCATCTTTCTTGGTGAGTGTTGGCAAGTAAAAATAAAGCATGCTGTCATGACCGAAGTTACACTTAGTTGTCAAGTTGTCTCGTGTTTTGAGGGAGAAGGCATCATGAACAGAGATCTGACGGCATACCGAGGAGGCAAGTGGATCACGTCGCTCCTGTCTCGGTCAATATAGCATACGCTTTGTTCGTTCCTTCCCGTCCTCCTCCAGACATACCATAGCTTTGCTCTGCCCCGTTATTTCCGTTCGATTGCGTCATTTCGTGAGGACACTTTCTTCACAGCGAGAGGAAGGCAAAAGCATAGTTACTCGGCAACAAGTAGGAACTGATCTTCCAAGTCAGAATCGGAAGGATTAACGGCTTCGAATCTGAAGGTCATCTTACTGCGTTACACTATCGAGGACCCATGACTGGTTTTCCCTTCATGAGGTCGAAGAAAACTCGAAATTTGACATTGGAGAGCAGGGTTCTATTTCTACGTCAGGAACCTCTTTTACAGGTAGGAGGCCAGAGCATGTAAGTAAGTGACAACATCATGACCTTGTTCAACTCAATATGCCGCACCCAACCCTAACCCAACCCGGCATAAGATCTTGACAACCCGCCGTTTTTCTCGTGCAAATACAGCACAATTCCCTGTTTATTTCCTTGAATCTCCAGTGGTCTGCACGTTGGTTTAACTGCGAAAAATTGCCAAGGCCCAAAGCTTCCAGACCATTCGAAGCTGCCACTGCCTGTAAATGCAAGGGCGTGCCAGATTGCCGAGACTCACCATTGAGTTACGCCCTCACCAATGAGGTCGGTACGCCTCGCTTTCGGTGAATAAAATGTGTCTTACATCCAGTTTGAGCGTCACAGATAAAACACACCGCATCTTACCTTCAATTTTTTCCCAACACCGCCTGTGTTCCGGACATCAATTTACAAAATGGTGAGCTCCCTGTGAATCTTCACCACCGCAACTCACTAACCCCCTGCCAGACCAACTCCCCTCCGACAGACCTCCTCTTCCACCACAACTCCACACTCACCACCCACCCAACCACCGTCCTCACCATCGTTCCCTTCTCCTCCCTCCCCTCCCCCGACCAGTCCCTCTTCAAATCCCCCCCAACCAACGCCTACGTCCTCACATTCCCCTCAACAATCTTCCACCCCCAAGGCGGCGGCCAGCCCTCAGACGAAGGCCACATCTCCCTCACCTCCTCCCCCTCAACAACCTTCTCCGTCATCTCCGCCCGCCACTCAGCCACCAACCCCTCCCAAGTCCTCCACCTCGGCCACTCCCCCAGCAGCCCTCCCAACAACCCACCCATCGCCAAGCTCTCCCCGTCTGAACCCCCATTCTCCCCAGGAGACAAAGTCACCCAGCAAATCAACGCCCAGCTAAGAGAGTACTACTCCCGCCTGCACACCGCCGGCCACGTTCTAGGCTCTGCCGTCCGGCACCTCCTGGAATCCCAAATCGAAAACTTTGACGAGCTCAAGGCCTCGCACTTCCCCGACAGCGCAGCATGCGAGTTTAGGGGGTTGATCGAGGGGAAATGGAAGGGGCCGATTCAAGAAAAGGTCGACGAGTTCCTCGCGGCGAAGATGCCGGTCGAGATTGACTGGTGGGACGAGAGTGACTTTCAGAGGGAGGGCCTAGAGCGGTTGATACCGAGGGATGAAGACGGGAACATTGTCAAACCGGAGACGAATGGCGGGCGGGGGGGAAAGTGGAGGGTGGTGAGGATTGTTGGGGCGGAGGTGTACCCCTGTGGTGGCACGCACGTGGAGAGGACGGATTTGTGCGGGGAGGTGAATGTGAGGAAGATTGGGAGGAGTAAGGGGTGCTCGAGGGTTAGTTATTCTGTTGCGGCGGCGGCGGCGTCGGAATGAATTGTGTGATGGATACCCTAGGGATTAGACCGCGGCGAGGAGATGGGTTTCCTACTGTGTGAATGAGTTGAATTTGTAGTGGCATAGTTCCTACTGTGCAGTCTGTTTGCCTGATGGCTTCTGGAAAATAAAACCGGAGCTGAGGAGCGGGACCGGGGGACGGGCCGGTCCGTTGTGTGGACTGGGGGGCCCCGTGAGATCCCTGTCCGGCCGGCACAGTCCCCGGACGTCAACCTCCCAAATTTGGTGTCTGTTTGGTTGCAAAGCCTGGCATAGAGTTCAGGTCTGGAAAGAGCGTTTTGTGTCACTTTCGCCCCCAAGGTTCCAAACCCCCATGCGAACACGAGAGGCTTGCTGGCTATCGTCATACCCTAGGTACCTCCTCCTTCCGGGAGGCCGCAGGAGAAACCTGTATGCCGTCTCCGTGTCCAAGTTCTAACGGTAAATATTAGGGGGAGGGTGCAGCGTCGACTAATGCTTCACAGAGATCATGAGACAAAGTTTCCATCTCGAACATCGGCCAGGTAACCCAAATGCCATGTGGCAACAACGACTGCCGTACACCTCGAGCTGCTGCACAGGAGGGCCTGAATACTCCACTACTGTTGTGTTTGACAAGAGCCGCCAGTATGAGCGCTTTCTGCATAGGAAATTTCTGAGCTGGCAATGTGCTCTCGAAAAGTGTCCAAGGTCACTAGGTATCTGAAACCAGAGATCCGTGGCCAACACAGTTCGTAGTCCAGGGACAGGTGGATATCCAACACAAGATCGTGCCGAATCTCGGGCTTTCGTGTTGATAACTGTATCAACAAGAGAAAGGTCCGAAAACGGACCTGAAGTCAACTGCAGCGTCTTTGGTCAGGTGGTACAGGAGGCACACAAATAGAAAACAAGCCAATAGGCATGTGACGCTGCGGGGTTATACTGCAGAACAAACGCCCGCAGCAGTTCCAAGTCTTCTTCAACGGCGTGCAGAAGAACCACCTCCACGGAAGCCTTTGGAAGACAGGTAGGCTGACTGGCTCTACCTGCCCGCCAGCGACCGAGAGTGACCTTCCGCTCTCGGGCAGGGTGACCGATGGGCTCGAAAACCCGACCATAAACGCCGACGAGAAATAGAAAACCGCCATCTTGGCGAAATGAGAGCAATACAAAAGCAAAGGACGGCACAGCGAGGCCACACACTCGTAATCTACATCTCGCCGTTTGTTCAACCGGATCAGAAGCCTTCCATCCGCTACGGGAACACCAGGCGAATTTGAGTAAGAGGCATATACTGCCTAGTGTATGTAAGTGGTGATGTCTGTGAGTCGATGACAGGCTGTCCGAGAAACACTGCGGAATGTCTCAATCTTCCCCCGAGCCAGAACCCCCCACGCTTTTTCAACATCATCCGGGCTGGGTGTCGTGTTTTATGGTCACAGTGACTCCAAAATGGGACTCGGGCCTACAGTGGCGCGTTTAAATGGAACGGTGGGCCGTCAACGGTTCCACGAGATTGGTCGACAGAACGTGATGACTTCTCTTGAACCGCCCAGTCGACCTTGATGCACATGTCGTGCGCGGATGCGGGTGATGCATTCCTCTTCACATTTGCCTGACGACTTTGAACTTGGCGCATACGGTCACGGCCATGATTTCCCCTTGTTCCCCTAAAAGACATGAATGAAGTCCTCCTTCTGTTAGTTGGAGCTTTTTAAAAACGCCCGCGTAAAGCGCGCCGCGGGAAAAAACAAATCGGCCCGCTAGGGATTCTTGGAATCTGGCGCGTAACGTAGCAACCTATCTCGTATGAGAAAGCTAACTGCCTAGTTGGCTGTGGCGGAATGGAATTGGTGACGATGGTGGAGGGCCCAACAGTCATCTGAGCAGTGGCTGTGTAGATGTCATTGGGGGGGCGAGGTTGATGACCAGATGCGTAGGTAGATAGGCAGGTCTGCTTGAGTCCGGAATTGCGAGGCCCCGATAGACTAGCTGCACCACATAGATTCATCGTGTGATTCGACGGCATCTAGGCTGCGGTAGCTTCTGGCGAGGTTTGTTACAGCTGGGTTTCATACAACCCGAGACGTGACTATAAGCCTCTAGCTGTCAAGTGACAGTAGTGGGGGTCGAATTAGGACGTTCGGTATGAATGCCCAAGAGCCAACAATGTTGGAAACATCGTGATCAATGTCAGTGGCAGGTAAACAAAGTCTCTCAATGGTAGGACATGTATATCTGGTTGGGGTCTGCTTGGTAGTTGCGTGAGGCGCTCGGAGATAAATACCAGTCGACACTGTGAGGGATTTACAAGATGACATATCGAGTATGGCTGTGCAATAATGGGAGAAACACTCTGACGCTTTGATGTCCCAACCAGGTCAGTCTGTTGTAAAGCCGACTCGGAGGCTGATGGACGGCAGCAAATGATGTTGAAGTTGGGGAAACGGGCGGGTCGATCTTGTCCGAACTCTGAATTACCTTTACCCCTCACTCAACCCCACAGTTTTCCCTGAAAGTCGGCACAAAAAAGCCCACATGCCGCTCGCTGTCTGAAGCCTTCGAAACGCTTTTGCAACGTAACGCCGATGCAACTTACAAGAGCAGAGACCGATACGCTGCCGGGACAGAGCCCGAATAATCCGATAATAAAGGTCCGCATATAATGCTCTGCTTTGAAAGAGAATGGCAGTCGCACCAAGGCCTGATTATACCCGGCTACCTTGCCGCTTACAAAATAACAAGAACTCTAATGAGACGCTAGTGACCTACTCCTAGCGTACGGAGTAGGGCCCGCAACGCTCACCACACTGCTGGGAATTCCCGTC